GCTTCACCCTCTTAAAATTTTCAGAACGAATATGTTTTGACTCGGATGCAGCTGTATCAAAATTAAGTAAGGCGTCACCTCGAAACTGATTGAAAAAAAAAATTATAGTTCTAGTGTTGAGAAATCTTCAATTCAATTATTTCAGCCTAGATCGTTATAGTCGTAAAAACAGAGAAATAGGATATCAAGTTTTTAAAATATCGTATATTATAACAAAATATCTAAATTTTCCGTTTCGCAATGAAAATAGGTGTTTAGGAATTTGCAAGATTTGTAGTATTTTTTAGTTTCAAATTTCATAACTAGTGGTGAAAATTGATTTTAGAGCTTTCGTGGAGATTTCCAAAACTCGAAGTGCTTTTTTTAGTGAAGATTTGACAGGGGCTTGACTTTATTTTCATAAAACTTCGGCCATGTAGAAATTGCATACTTTTTAAAAAACGACATTTATTCCTTCGAATTTCAAAAATACCTTTCTTGAAATAGTGTTGGAAAATAACGGTATTTGATATGGCGATTTGCAAAGGACACCGTAGTTGATACCGTGGTAGGAAACAATCACGGTATCGGATACCATTACTTATGCGAAAGACGGTCTTAAATAATGTGAGCTATGAAAGCACGCGACTGAGTTCATGGTATCTCATGAATTTCATTATGTTCCACGAAATGAAATTTTATGGATTTCATTATGTTCCACGAAATGAAATTTTATGGATTGTTGTGCTTACATTTTGGTTTGTCGGTTTAAGTCGGTCCACACACGTTCTGAAATTGAGCTATTCTGGGTTCAATCCTAGGTTTGTGTCCAGCCTAGCCCAAGTTTGAACCGTCCTCACGCCCAAATCCGAGACTAGGCCCCCTTGATCCAAGCCAAGACTTATGCCCCATATGACCCAGATCCTAGTCCGGGTCCACAAATTGAGTTCTTCTAAGTCCAACCTTAGATTTGTGCCCAACGTAACCCAGGTTCGAATCGAGTTCACGACCAGGTCTGAACCTAGGCCCTCTTCTCTAGTCGAAGTCAGCGCTTACGCCCTGTTAATCCCGAGCTCTTTATTTAGGTCCACACGCAGGTTTGAGCTCAAGTCTGTCATGAGCAAGGCTCACCATGCTTAGGCCTCGGTTTAACCCGTGTTTAGTATAGGTCCAGCAAAATTCGTTTCTAAGCCCAGCTAAATGATAGGATGGAAAATAACATAATTTAAAACAACGATTTGCGAAAGACACGGTAGCTGATAGCATGGTAGGAAACAATCACAGTATCAGATATCGTCACTTATGCGAAGGATGGTATTAAATAATGTGATTTATGAAAAAGCACGCCACTGAGTTCACGGTGTACCATGAATTTTTTTTCAATTTGTTCCTAGACATGACATTTTGCGAATTGTTGTGCTTACATTTTGGTTCGTCAGTTTGAGTCTAGGTTTGGGTCCACCACGGTTTGAAATTGAGTCCTTATGAGTCCAATCCTAGGTTTGCACCCATCGTAGCCTAGGTTCGAACCATCTTCATGCCCAGGTCAAGGCCTAGGCCCTCTTGGTCCAAGCCAAGACTCACACCCAACATGACCTAGATCCCAATTCGGATCGACGCCCAATTTGAAAAAATTGAGTCCTTCTAGGTCCAAATATGGCCTTGTGCCCGACCTAGCTCAGGTTCGAATCGGGTTCACAACCAGGTCTGAACTTAGGCCCTCTTCTCTAGTCTAAGTCAGGGCTCATGCGCAGTTAATCCTGAGCTCTCGATTTAGGTCCACACCCGGGTTTGAACTCTAATTTGAATATTTAAGTAAGGAAAAAGTTTATATAAAGTTGCAACTTTAAATGTAGAATTACATATGCACCTCAAAAATCGATCGAAAAAGGTTATTTTAATGTTGAAAAAGCCTCTAATTGATCATTTCGAAATCGAGATGTATGAAAAAAAAAAAAATTTGAGTCCCAAAAATAGTGGATCTTGCCTTACATTATCTAGACCATCAATTTTCAGGATTTTAATATGTTTATAAATCCACTTGATTTTAACCATTTTTAGAATTTAAAATTTTATAATTAGATATAAAAATAGATGTTGAGATAATCCTAATAGTTTTTTTCACCAAAATTACATGTTATAAAAAAATTTGGAGGTACACCTTAATTGGATTATTTAAAGTTGCAACCTTATAGAAACCACACCTTTTAAGTAATATTTTCTCTATTATAAATTTTATCACCAACCAAAAGGTATTCCAGAATTTAATAGTTTGAGTAAAACTAGCATCCTATTGTATTGTCATTTATACTCTCCCCATTTTCTGGCTTTTTTTTTTTCAAAATGCCAAAAATTTGGGACTTTCAAAATTCTCAACAAAAAGTATTAACAAATAGGTTTAGAAAATGTGATCGCCAATATCCACATTGTGGATAAGACTTTAGAAAGAGAAAAAAACTAGAGATGGGGAGAAAAGACGAGTCATGCAGGGTGTTTGGCTTTAGATTTTGAAAATCCAATCTTGAAGGTAAAAACTCATTTCGAAATTACAATTTTCAAACTTATCTTATTAATACTTTTAGTTGTGCTTTAGAAAGTCCTAACCAATGACATTTTGGATAGAAATAGTAGTATTTAAAAAAGAAAAATATTTATATAAGGTTGCAATCTTAAAATATAGAATTAAAAATGCACCTAAAAAATACATCATAAAAAGTTGTTTGGATGTTGGAAAACCATCTAATTGATCAAGATGTATGAATATGAAAAGAAAAAAAGATTTCGAATCCGCAAAATAATGCATCTTACAACACATTATCTAGACCATCTATTTTCAAGATTTTCATGTGTTTATAGATCATTTTCAAAGTTTAAAATTTTATAATTAGAGTGAGCATAAATCACAACATACTCGAGATAGATTTTTTATTCCTAAAATCACAACATATTCAAGATAGATTTTCTATTCCTAAAAGAAAATATATTAATATAACGGCACTTTTTTTTATGAGTTGTAGTCACCTCTTAAAAATCTATTTTTGAAATGGATTTTTTGACCTAATTTTTAAGGACATGTAATCTCTAATACGAAGATTAAGAATATGAAAAATAACAGTTCTATTAAAAAAACATTTGGACCATTAGTTTCAATTATATTTATGTGGACTACCTATTTGCATCTATCTTTAGGATGGATGTTTTATACCTCGGGGATGCAGTCCCCGCCGTATGAAACAATTTTCCTTAATATAAACCTCCCGTTACATATGATATTACGAGTAAAGCTACCCTAACCGTTCACCACCTCTATTTGGATCAGACCCAAGAATAGTGCAAAGGCCCTTGGAAGATTCCCCCATAAATGATCACAATGCCCTTCCGCATATTTTCCAAAAGGAAAACCCACTACCCTCCGTCCCCCTAAAAATGACCATGATACCCTTCCATGAACCACTACCCCATAACCTCAAAGGTATCATGATAATACCATTAACAAATCCCCAACCAGGACGAACCCAACCCCCAATTCACCAATAAATGACAAAAATACCCTTCCAAAGAACTCCATCCACAAATGACCAAAATACCCTTCCAAAGATCCTCCATTCCAACCCCATTAAGAAAAACCTACTCCCATATCCTACAAGAATGTGCCATCCGACGGTCGGAAGCTGGCCGAGAGGCCCATGCCCACATGATCACATCAGGCTTCAAACCTTCTATCTTTGTCTTCAACTGCCTCATCAACATGTACCTGAAATCCTCAAACACCCACGATGCTCTCAATGTGTTCAAACAAATGCCACATAAAGATCTAGTCTCTTACAATTCCATGATCTATCAATACTCTTTCACTAATTCTATGCCCTCTGCTCTCTCTCTCTTCAATTCCATGCCCATCAAAGATGCAATCTCGTGGAACTCATTAATGGCAGGCTATTCACAAAATGGTGATCACTTCAAGCCTCTCTTTCTCTTTAAACAGATGCTAGAAACGGATGTTGGACCCGATCACACATCTTTTGCCATAGTATTGAAGGCCTGTGCAACTCTGGAGGGATTTGAGCAGGGAATTCAGGTTCATGGCTGTGCCATACAAATGGGTTTCAACAGGGATGTGGTTACTGGTAGTGCATTGATAGGTATGTATGCGAAGTGTGGAAAATTGGTTTTTGCAAGGAGGCTTTTCGAGGAATTGCCAGAAAGGAATTGGGTGTCTTGGAGTGCTATGATTGCAGGTTATGTTCTCAACGAGCAAGGGCTTAATGGGCTGGAATTGTTCTTAGAGATGCAAAGGGAAGAAATTGGGGTTAGCCAATCCGTTTATGCTAGTGTTTTCCGATCGATTGCAGGTTTATTGATGCTAAATTTAGGCTTCCAGTTTCATGGTCATGCCATAAAAACCGGATTCTTTCAAGATACTATTGTGGGTACTTCTATTTTGGATATGTATGCCAAGTGCGAGAGGTTGGACATTGCTAAACTAGTGTTCGAATTGCTACCCCAAAAGAATTTGCAGTCATGGAATGCTTTGATTGTGGGCTTTGCACGAAGCAAACAAGGATTTGAGGCTCTAAAATTCTTTAGATTATTGAAGAGAGATGGGTTCAAGGCTGATGCGATCACTTTATCTGGTGTTCTTAGTGCTTGTGCAACTTTAGAGGCCCTTTCTCAGGGTTCACAGATTCATACTCTCTCTCTAAAAACTAGTTATGGATCCGATATATGCGTTTCCAATGCACTCTTGGACATGTACGCAAAATGCAAGAGCTTAGAAGAGGCCTGCAAGGTCTTTGGCGAAATGGTTTACAGGGATTCTGTCTCATGGAATGCTATAATCACAGGTTACGAACAGAATGGAGATGATATGGAGACTCTCTCACACTACAACCTGATGCTTTCTTATGCCATGAAGCCTGATGAATTCACTTATGGAAGTGTTCTTAAGGCCTGCTCTGGGCTTCAAACACTGAAACTGGGAATGGAAATTCACACCAGGGTGATCAAATCTGGTTTAGAGCTAGACCCATTTGTGGGGAGTGCTCTAGTCGATATGTACTGTAAATGTGGGTCTTTAGAAGATGCTGAGAACCTTCATGGAAGAATAGAGAAGCAAATTGTGTCATGGAACGCTATGATTTCAGGCTTTTCTCAGCAAAAACAGAGTGAGGAGTCTCAGAAACTCTTCTCAGAAATGCTGGACCTTGGTTTAAAACCTGATAACTTTACTTATGCTACAGTACTTGATACATGTGCAAATCTTGCCACAGTGGGGTTAGGCAAACAAATCCATGCTCAGATCATCAAAGAAGACCTGCACAAGGATGTGTACATAGGAAGCACACTTATAGACATGTATTGTAAGTGTGGGGATATGGATGACTCATTGAAAATGTTTGAGAAGATGGAAAAGAGAGATTTCATATCATGGAATGCCGTGATCACAGGCTATGCTCATCATGGTAGAGGGAAAGAGGCCTTGGAGATATTTGAAAGAATGAAGAGGGAAAATGTGAAACCAAACCACGCTACATTTGTATCGGTGCTCAGGGCTTGTGGCTATGTTGGCCTCACTGAAGGAGGCCTGGGTTACTTTGATTCGATGGTTCGAGACCATGGGTTGAGCCCACAACTAGAGCATTATGCTTGCTTGGTAGATATAGTTGGTCGATCAGGGAAAATTGAGGCGGCTGAGAGGCTCATTGATACCATGCCTTTTGAACCAGACATAGTGATATGGCGCACATTGCTTAGTGTTTGTTTGATCTATAAAAACATTAGGGTAGCTGAAAGGGCAGCTACTTGTATCCTAGAGCTAGACCCAAAAGACTCAGGAGCATATGTGCTGATGTCTAACATATATGCAGCAGATGGGAGGTGGCAGGAGGTCTCGAGAATGAGGAAGCTGATGAGAGAGAGTGGTTTGAAGAAAGAACCAGGTTGTAGCTGGATTGAGGTGAGAGATGAGGTCCATGCATTTATTGTGGGGGATAAATCTCACCCGAGATGTGATGAGATTTATGACGTATTAGATGAGCTCATTAGAGAGATGAAGCTTGATGGTTATGTGCCTGATTCTGATCTTGATGTGGACTCCATTGATGGTTGAGGTGTCCCTAAGGGGTATCTTAAATGGGGCTGTGACACCATACAGAAATTAATGAATTGGAATTTTCAGCATGTGGATTTCTTGAAGTTTATCCTAATTATCAGCAGGTTTGTATCCTTTCATTCTTTTCTTGATACAACACCCAATTGTAAACTCGAATCCAAGGTTTGTAGCAGATCAAAGTTGTCATATTCTTGCCCTTCTCAATTATCTAAAAATCTTGTATTATCAGCAATAAAAGCAGCCAAGTTCTCCTGGATTGCTAATTTGAGTAGATTCAATGAAATGATGATTTGCTCTATTGGTAAAAAACTACGTGTTAGTAACTGAAAAGGGAATTTCAATATTTCATGACCAGTGCATCATCTCTCATTTGCTCCACTACATTTGCCACCAAGCAGGCACCCATTTGGAAGTAAAGGGCTCTCTATTTTTGGAGATAAATGGAAGGGATTCTCTCTCTCCCATATGGTCTCACTCTTGTTAAGGAAATCATACAATTGAGATTATTATAGAAAGAAGAACTCCTCTATCAGGACCTAAGAGTTTGGTGTCCCAGGCACATAAAGAGTTATTTCATCATCATCATCATCATTATAGCCTTTTCCCAATTAATTGGGGTCAGCTACATAATGAGTTATTTGGTCACTCTAAATTGACTAGGCATATTTGTCTCATGGGTAAGTAGCCAACTAGGTGCAATCCTTTCTTTACTCTAGCCAGTAGCTCGCCATGGTTCATCAAGGAAAAGTTTATCATATCACTCATAATCTGTAGGGGACCTTTTTGATTCTGTATTGAATGATGAATCTAAGTCACATATCCAAACCAGTTATCTGCACATTATTCTTCTCAGCGATATATGCAGGACCTGAAAGTTGGTAAAGTTCAGATGGGTCAAGAGTGAGTAGATCTCTAAATTGTGGACTTTCACCACATACAATGGGTGGAATTAGGGAAAGAGTAATATGTGCGAAGAATGTCAACATCAAAGTTCTGCTCCACAATAGAGGACGGTTGAGACTTCAGAGCTTCCGCTCTTACTAATTTCCCAGAATGGGATATGAGTTTCTTTCTCTGACAATGTTTAACAAAATGGAGTTCAGGATGAAGACTTTAGTTGGAAACTGGTGAGGGAGCTCCTCCTTGAATGCATTGTCCTCAGTCGTTTGGCTGCTGAGATGCATACAGCCCTTGTATGTTTTGAGATGGAAAACAACACTAATTTCAGAGGGAAACAAAAGTTTGGTCCCAAGAGACAGCAGTATAATTCTATATTTTTACATTACGCATATGTTTCCTATCAAAGAGTCAACTTTTTTATATTTTACATAGACTTATGCATTCTTCTCAGGTTTTTATTTTCATCCCTAATATCCCTACACATGCTAGAAAATTTTGGTTCAAACTAATGTTCCTTGCTAATTTTGCCTTATTTGAAAAGAAATCTATTGCTCAGATGAATAAACTATAAGAAACTGTAAAAGTGTGAAATAAGAGAGAGAGAGATGCGGGGGTGGGGGGGATGGGGGGGAGGGAGATTGTAACACTAAAAATAAAATTGAAGTGCACAAAAAGGAACAAAGAGATCTGCTAACTAACATGAGAAGAGACTCACGAGAAAGATCACGGAAGACAACCTTGCATTCAAATCTCTTTTCTTTCTCAAGAACAACTAAGTAACATAAGAAGTACAACATCAGGTAAAGTAAGAAAAGAAAACCATTCAAAATCAGAAAGGACAGTGTTCTTGCTGAAATATATATACAATGAGCACGGATATCAATGAAATGGCAATTGCACCAAAGACATACTTTGCCTTGAGCTGGCCTGCTTCTATTGTCACCACAGTTTCAAATTGAGAAGACGAATCCATATCAACCACTTCTTCTGCCCCTAATCCATGGCCATCAGAACCAGACACAGTAGGTCCCTCCATGCTCACACATGAAGCAACAGATTTGACTGATGTCTCGACCTAGAGGCAGACAACAACAACTTAGTTCCATGTCAATTTAATTCAATTCAACATTGTTAACTATCTATTCTTTTTATTTATTTGTCACTTTGAGGAATTTCATGTAGAGGAATACCACATTTTAACAATGTTAAGAAATCTATGTATATCTATTCAAATGTTACATCTCTCTCTCTCTCTCTCTCTCTCTCTCTCTCTCTCTCTCTCTCCACACACGCACACACACATGCATGCATGCATGCACACACAGGATTTGGTTCATCCTATATCATATTTTAGGACCTTGAACGACATTTTTTGCAGCCCATATTTTGCACACACACACACACACTATTCGGGATCTGACAAACAAGATTGTGAAAAAGAAAAACAGAAAATGGTTTTTCATTAGGTGACTGGAAATGCAGTGAATACCGCCATCCATTTCAGGTGTTCTAAAATGATGCTAGATCAAGGCCTTAGGGGAATGTGTCTGAACCTAAATTTTTTCGATTGCATCATCATCATGAGATAAACAATGAAATTAAGAAAAAAAAAATCTGAACTTGAGTTCTCTAAGACCCAGAACAGACTGTCCAAAAAACTCGATGGTCTGTGCTCAGGGCATATTTATTTATTGTTTTGGCTTGGGCGCTAGGATAAATAAGGTTTATGGTCCCCATAACAATGGTTTTGAGCAAGGAGGACACTGTAGCAATAAAGATAAGAAAAAGAAATATGGTATGAATAACAAGGATGCTAGAAATAAGCAATATATTAAAAAAATCAACCAGCAAATATTCTCATGCGCTCTTCAGGAAAAATCTATCTACACAGGATTATTCTCTTTTGGGCAGTTCCACCACATCCAATATTAGGGGAAGTGCCGCAAATGTATCATGTTTACGAGCACCAATGTGTTTTTTTTATACATGTTCCACCTATGCGCATATCATGATACCCCTTAGCATATAGTAGATAAATGGAGAAATAGTAGATAAATGGGGGAAAGGCACATCTATTCATACCATGATACTCAAAGATGCCTGCTTGATTTCCTGCTTTGCTGAATGCATCTCTACACATTCCTTTTTTGGCTTATGAACTTTGTCAATGTTCTTAAATGTCACTTCTAGCAAGTTATGTACGGAGCTCATACCACCTAGTTCACAATGAAGTCTACATTTCCAGTTTCGAAGTTCACAACAGAGTGCATCAGAACAAGAAGAAAAGAGTCATACTTCATGAATCAATTGGCAATTCAGCAGGCAATTGGCAGGAGTCATCCAATCAGATCATTAATGCCAAAACTTATTATGATCCTTTTTACAAACATAAAGTAGAAAACAGTTAAGTAAACCTTCTAATAAGGAATATTCATATTTTATCTCAAAATGTCACCCTCACTAGTTTTGACTCGCAATGGAACCTTCCCCCTTAACACTCGCACCCTTTCCCTCGAATATTAAAAAGTAGATGAAGGAAAGACACAGATAGAAGCAAGTAAAAGTTTCAAATTCAGCAGATGATTCATTTATATTTTCATTCTGGCTTATTACTTCAACATGTGAAAAGAACCTCAACATACTTGGTCTATGAAAATAAACAAGGAAAAAACAAGAGGAAAACTGCATTTCAACTACCACACACACACACAGAGATACAAAAAAAAAGGGACAAAAGGAAGAACAGATAAAAGAAAAGAGCTTACCTGCGTTTCCAAATACATATGTCCTAAGGTTGGTTCAGATTCCAAGTCCACAGGATTAGTTAAATTAGCCTTAATATCCCCATTGTCTTTTTCAGGGACGTACTCTATTGCTTGTTTATTCCCATAGTGGCTCATCAAGCCAGAGGCCTCATCGCTAGAATACTCCCCTAGAAGCCTGTTCTCCTCCATCAATGAAAAGATCTGCAAAAGGATGCACTCAAAGTTCCAATCAACCAGTGGTAAACTTTGGAATAATTTAGTTTCATATAACCTAGCTTACATGCAAAATAAAATTTTACAATTGCCACTAAAGAAGGAGAACGTGGGATTCCCAAAACTAATCAAGAGATTAGAAACCAAATAAAAAGAGTAGTTTTTTCTTTAGAATTCCGCTATAATTGTTGATGATCTAATTTCTCAAGTTTATTTTCTTAAGCCTAAAGTGATCAAGAAAGTAGATTTAATAAGTTGTTTGATATGGACAAGCAACTGAGCATCGACCGAGTCACTTTCAAGAAGAGGCCTTTTTCTTAAGAGGTGCGTTAACAGCACTTTACTTCTGAGCCTCACGTTGACGATTTAAATGAGAGGTAAGATGCTGAAAAAGAAAGAGAAGCAACTGAGCTACCATCCATTCACAATTTAAACTATTATTATTGTGGACATACATTTATACTTATTGGGAAATGATGGCGTGCCATCCCCACGGCCACGAGCAATCCGGTTCGTGCCCCCCACTTCAGAAACCATTCTGGAAGTGTACAGGGGACCTGAAAGAAATCCATATGCCCTCCAAATCATTCTCCTCTTAATAATATTTGATTTGAAGCCCCATAAAGGCTCCCAATCCCGTAGATCTACAGGTCATTCAAAGAGATGGTTTAGAACTCACTTTTGGGCACAATTTGGAGCAATGCTTAGAGCTTCAAAGTGAATTGTTTTCATATGAGACTGTTGTTGGAGTGGATGTGACTATTTGGGAACTTTTTGCGGTTCCTTGCACACCTCAAATGGTTTTGAGGTGGGGGGAGCACCAGTGAGTGCGCTCCAGGAAAAGAACACCATCATTTACCATACTAACATCCCCACTAAAGCAGTAATTTTCTTTCTTGCCTATCAATATATACAAATGCTTTCAGATAAAAAAAACGAACCAATCTCAAGTAGTATATGTGTGTGTGTGTGTGTGTGTGTGCAAGTAACCAAAGCTGAGCTCTATAGGTGAAATTATTCAAAAGGAATTTAAAGTCTAAACATACCTATATACTACAAATATTTTCTATCTCCAAAAACACATACACCCGTGCTTACATGGACCCACATTAAACTTATAAATGAAGCCACTCAAAACTGGTAAACTGGCTGGTCAGAGTTTAGGACAAGTTTTCAGTTCCACCCCTCACTTTTCCTTCTTATTTTTCACCCCTTTCTTGTGGTTTTTTTTTTTGGGTGGGGGGATTGGGGAGGTGGTGGATATGCTTAAAAGCTTAGATGACCGAAAAAGGATACTTTTCATGAAAAAGCCATCAAGGAAAGCCAGTTGAGTTTTGATCTGATATAATGTCCCAAGTTCTCTCTTGGGTATGAATCAGTATAAGGCCTTCAGTGAAAAGGTAAAAACTCAAAGCAGTCACAGAAAACAGTATACAAAGCCATACCTGTTTCTGAAGACACTCCCTCTCAGTTGCAAGCTTCATGATGAGGTCATTGATTAATTTAGCTCTAAAGTTCACATCTTTTGCAGCCTTCGCTTTGTCATTTTCAGTTCGAACCAAAGATGCCTGCAGGCTCTCCACTGTACCCCGTAGCAACTTCAGTTCTTCATTCAATTCTGAGTTATTGTCCATTAACAAGGAGCACTGCAATTCTGCATTTTCTGCTCTGTTTTCCATATAGATAACCTTTGCTTTGAGGTTCTGAATTACGTTTTCCATATCAATGAGACTTGAAGATAACAGTGTTTCTCTCTCATGGCTTGCCTCAACAGAGGCCAAAGCCTGCTGCCACTGAGTCTCAGATTGTCTAAGCCTGCCTTCAAGAGAACTTGCTTTCTCTCTTAGACTTTGGGCATCAGAATTGGCAAGATTGAACTTCTCTTCAGAATCTTGAACCTTTGCTTCTGATTCCTTCACCTGCAAAAGAAGCAAATTCTCGAGTTTCTGGCATCTAGTAGTCAACTTTAGTAAAGTACCTTCATCTTCTGATAGTTTTATCTGGGTCCCTTGCAGCTTGGATCTCAGGTCTGTTTCTCGACAGAGAGAACTATTCAAGTTGAAATTAAGAAGTTGGATCTTCCCTATCAGTTCCTTTGAGACACCCGATAAAACACTAACCAAGTTTTCAGCCTCAAATGACCTCTGAAGCAGAGCCCTTGCCATTGTTTCCATGATGGAGTTTTCCTCTTCAACATCATGCAATCTTTGTTTAAGCTCTTCTTCATTATGTCTGGTAACGGTTAGTTTACTTTCAAGATCAAGATCTCTCTTTAGGGATTTCTCTAACATTCTTAATACATGCATTTGTTGCTCAGGAGTATGCGCCTTTCTTATGCCTCCACTCATTGGAGAAAATGGGCTCTCTATAGTCTCTGCATCCAAGCCATTCCCTGCAAATTCCACGTCTGATATGAGTACAAAATCCCCAAAAAATGTTTAAGGAGCATGGAAATAAGCTCGAGCACATTTAGTTCATGGGACTTTCTCTCCGGGAGAGAGATTTCCCATGAGATGGGAAATTGGCTCATAACTCCCAAGTTATGAAGCTGCCATCCCATGAAAAGCCACTATTTTTATTTTGTATAGCGGCACGAACCTTGGGCGCTTTCACACACGCCACTTCCTATGCAACAAACATGGGAAAGCGATAAATCCAATTTCCATATGAAGTTGGGACTTGAAAATTGGGCTGGAAGTGACATTGTTTGACTGTGTATAATTTTCCAATGAAACACAATAGATTATAATAATGATTAGCAAATTGGCCCCAAATCTACCACTCGGAGACTTCCTAAGAACTTCCTATTTGAGCAATTTCATGCTGCTTTAACATCTAATTCATATAACTAATTTCAGATTCCAAGCCCAAATGAAATTCCTCTTGTACAGATTCTCATGGATTATATTTTTGCAAGATTTTTACGAGAAATAAAAAAGATGTGGAGAACCATAGCCCGGTAGTTGGAACTGTTTGCCCCAAGTATTAAGCCTTGGGACTGAAGGGCCAACTCGCACTACAAAGTATACTTTCAAAAACAAAGATTTTAAATACACTTTGACATTTTGTCTTATTGATGCACTTTTACCTTCTTTTTTATATAACTTTTTATCCCAGTGAAGATAAAGAGAAAAAGAGAAAGACTATAAGAAATTCATGACTCACGGATATCCTGCCCACCATAAGACAAGGTGTTCTGGAACTTGGCTGATTGCATTCTCATATCAGTAACCTGGACTCGTAACTGCTTCAAAGCTTCCTCTAACTCATGCATCTCTTCAGTTTTTGTATCCTCAAACAGTTTCTTCTCACGAAGGTCAGTAATCTCTTCCTGGAGAGAAGCTGTGAAGCGATCAAGTTCTCCCATCTCCGAATCTAAGATTCCAGAGAGAATATCGAACTCCAGTGCCTTTTCGACTGAGTCTTCGAGGATATCTTCCTTCCTTGTTGCAAAATCTTCATACTCTCCAGCTCTGGCTGCCACATGAATAAAAAATATCTCCAAATTCTGCACTTTCTCTGAAGAACATGCTACATCTAATTCTACTCTTGTCAGAAGTTCTCTTGCATTATTACTTTGGCCACTTTCCATCTCTTTGAATGTTTCTTTGGGCAATGTCTCATGGGCTTCTGATTCCAAGGATATAGTCTTGTTGAAACCTGAATAACAAGTTCTACAGGCTTAATTTCCCCAGATATGTAGGCAATAACCCTAGAAATATGTACCACTTGTAAAAATTCCATAAACCATTTCCCTCACAATGTGACCTCTGTATGCCTAGTAAAAATGTTTAGCATAATTGATACCTGAAGAAAAAAATAGTGAAAGAAGAACAAACAGAACTGACAACAATAAGGCATATAGGAATTAATATGGACCTTGCAGTTTATGTGAAGTGGCAATTTTCATAAAGAGAATCTATTGTAATGGGAAGGCCTGGAAAGGGCTGGGAAGGGCTTGGCATAATCATAAATAAAAAGTGTTATTCCCTTTTTCAAAAGATTTAAAATCAAAGTGGACACTTTTCTTCTGTGTTGAACCACATCATAATCTTCTGGCTTGCAATGTTGAGTTTCACTGAATTTACAAAACTGGATGAATAAACATGTGTGCTAACCAAGTTTTTCGTTAGTACATTCATGGGTCTTAAGATGGAGAGAGAAAAGGAGAGAGTACAATTCAAGAATAAGATAATGTAACTGTAAATGTATTTTTCACTCTATACAAATAATGGGGAATTGTGCCCTATATAGACACATAGATCCCTATAGGAGCTACAATATAGGTAGGTCAATAAGCATAGGCGTCGTAGCCAATATGCATAATTGTTACAGTAGCAAATCACCCAAATATGATAACTGTTGAAGCAAGAAAATTGCCTAAATGTGATAATTATTGAGGAAAGTCATGGGAAAAGCACGCAAATATGGTAGAAATTGTACACATTTTTTTTTGATGAAGTTAATTGTTGTATCAGAAAGGATTCTTGAAACTATTATTTTGTAGCCATATCAATCTAAGTTTTTAAGGAAATTATACACATTATCACTGCATGCAGGTTTCCATAATGGGCAATGAGGTCTATGTAGGTTTCTTTAATGGGCATGGGGCCTATAACAGTCATTATACTCATTATCGCATGCAGGTTTCCATAATGGACAATGAGATCTATGTAGGTTTCTTTAATGGGCATGGGGCCTACTCCCCCTCAAGCTGGAGCATATATATTATAGATGTCCAATTTGTCCAAAGTATCTGGGGCAGACCTAGTAACTTGGACCTAGGTTTTAGCAAAGAAGAAGATAGGAAAGAACCAAAATTAGAGAGAGATTTAAAAACTAGAGATAAAAGAAGGAGCACTTGCTGCTCTATGGTTTTGAATAAAGTCCATAACAGAATGCATCATTATGCTTGAGTACATCTCTTATATAAAAAACACTAACCAAGACTTAATCTTGGCCATCCAACTTATCTAATCAGGGCCATTTATTATAAAAAGCTTTAAGTGAATAAAAAGACAAAATATTTTAAAAATTATTATTTATGCCTCTAAGTGAATAAAGTAACTCAAGAAATAAATAAAAGACATAAAAGGATAGATTCAATTACTATTTTGCCCTTCTAAGATTCCTCTTGTATCTCTTATCTTGATACTCGAGAGTTGTATTCTGGGCTGCATCATTATCCATTAGTTGAACTTGATTAGAGGCCTTGGTAACTATGTCTGCCAATTGATTCTCGGAGAGAACAAATGGAGTTCATATTGCCTTTGAAGAGACCTTTTCTCTGACAAAGCAATAGTCGACCTCTATGTGCTTGATTCTTTCATGAAATACAAGATTTGAGACAAAATAAATTGCTGCTTGATTATCACATTGTGGAGGAATAGAAGCTAATACATTAACAACCAATTACTTCACATGTAGCACATGCCATTGCGGCTTCTACTGAAGATTAAGCTACATCATTTTGCTTTTTACTGGTAAATTGTCGATCAGGTGAACATCTAGCCCAAATCTGCATCGCATAAACCTTGTAAATCAACGTGATGCTATAAATGGTGTCCAAGGAAGTATGGTGCGTGCATAAACTAACTTGCCAAGCTTAAAGCATATTCAATGTCTGTCCGAGAGACAGTCAAATAAATAAGTCTACCCCACTAATCTCAGATATACACCAAAGTTTGTCAGAGGCTCTAACCGCTGATCATACAGTTTATGATTAACCTCTATTGGGAGATTCTGCTGATTTGGCTCAAGTATTATCAAGAGTATACTTCCTTTGACAAAAAAATTCCTTGCTAGACCTAGCCACCTCCAATCCAAGGAAGTATTTCAATGGACCAAGATCCTTGATGCCAAAAACACCCCCTAGAAATTTCACTTATTGAAACCCGTGATCATTATTTCTTGTGAGTACTAGATTATCCACATACATTATCAGTACTGTGGTAGAAAAGAATCTCTTTTAAAAAATATAGAATGATAAAAAACGCTTCTCTAAAATCCGAACTAACATTGCCATACTAAAATTTGTGAACTAAAGGCTGAGGTGATTGTTTCAATCCATATATCGCTTTCCTTAACCTGCAGACCTTCCCCTCCCCCCCCCCCCCAAGACAATAAAACCCAAGTGGTAATGCCATATACATTTCCTCTGCAGATCTCCATGAAGAAAGTTATTCTTAATATCTCATTGGTGGGGTGGCTATTTCCTGTTTAATGTAATAGACTTTAATGCAATAGATAAAAAATACACGTATTTATTTTAATTTTCCTAAAGGAGCAAAAGTCTCCTTATGGTCAGCCCCATAGGACTGTGTAAAACCCTTAGCCACCAGATGAGCTTTGTATCTGTCAACCAAACCATCTGGTTTGTGCTTCGAAGATTCATCCACCTGCATCCAACTACACGTCCTTCTGACCAATCAATTACATCTCAAGTTCGCTGCTTCTTTAAGGTAATCATTTCCTCAATCATGGCTACTGTCCATTATCGACGAGCCAATATATCTGCAATTCAGTGGGAATAGGAACAAAGGAAGTAGCGTAAAGGCACGCATGAAAGGAAGGTGAAAGTGTAGCATAAGAAACAAACTTACTGATCAGATGAGAAGTACAAGTCCTTTTTCTTTTCTTATGGCAATAGGTAAATTGAGCTGAGAAGTATAAGGATAGAAGAAGAAGAAGTACCTGACGAGTCAATGAGCTAGGGTTGATTGCTTACATAAGAATTTCCCCTATTCTTTTCACGGGTGCACACATTCAGCAGTTTTTTATGGAAATAAGCTGGTTAATTCAAAATTTTCATTTTTAAAGATATGGGTGTTATATTTAGTTTTTATTAGCGGTTAGTTTCTTAATTACTTTCCTAGTTTTTAGTTGCGACTTGGGGGTAGATCATGTGGGTGCTGAAAGGCAGGGGGGGTCCAATCCTACCCGATCCTATTATGCTGGGACTCATTACTTTTTTATGAGATTTAGTGATTTCCTAGTTTTATGGGATTCTATAGAGAATATGTTAGTTAGAGAGAAAGAAGGAATATTTCCCTGAATAGTGTATCTAGAGGGAGAGAAAGTAGGTGTTTCAAAGAGAGAAAGAGGGATGAGTCAAATGAAGTCCAAAAAAAAAATAGGAAAATTTGTTAGTGTGTCTTTTTCAGAGAGGATATTTTTTTTAATTTTGTTCTTTTTATTTTTTATTTTTCATTTTTATTATGGCTCATAAAAGGGGAATTCCCCCATTAGAGAGGTGGCTTATGTTATTGAAATATTATATGAAAAAAGAAAGTTCTTCTTTCATGGCTTGATTTACAACCATGTTTTTTCTCCATTAGTGATGATTTTTACTTGTTTAAGGTTTGGGAGAAAAGTGGATTTAATTTCTCACCTTTCCTTCCTACATCACGTGGTATTGAGCTCAATTTGAAGAAGGTTAGAGATTGCAATAGCTGGTCGTGGACATCTTATCTGTAGGGATACCGATCTGATCCGATTGCACAAGGAACTCAACAACTTGATGAAGTGGATTGAATAGCTATTACACAAGCGATGTCAGCAACAACATGACTCAAATGAAGAGGAATCTAAAGGCATAGATCATGAGGGTTTTTATGGAGATTGAAGTGAATTAGAGTCCAAGTCTGAGAGAGAATGGACTGATGATGTGTTAAGTTACGAAGATGGGTTTGATACGTGATTGCATCAACTGATGCATAGTTTTGAATGAGAACAACTAGGATCCAATCTTCAATCAGATTCAATATTCTTTGCCTAAGTGGATGGTCCTATCTTTGAAGGTGATCCTACCGTTGATAGTGGTCCTATTTTTGACAAAGAACCAGGTGCCTATCTTTGATACTTGTCCTATTTTAGATAAAAAACAAGGTGATCCTATCTTTGATGGTGAAGACGAAGAGTTTGGAGATCTAATCTATAATGAAGGCCAAGTTACAAGCATGGTGATTATGGCAATGATGTGGATAGTAGTAGTGAAGAGGTCAAAGAGGAGGCAATTGAGGGCAGCGACCATAAAGAGCAAAGAGCTATTTCCTCATGCCAATGGTGGGATTGACCTCTCCTATTTCCAATTTGCAGATGCCACCCCATAGTTGCATGTTACATAGTTGGTTGCACCAAAACCTTCAGTAATTGGTTTGAGGATATTTTAATTGGGCCCACAACCCACGGGTCCCAAGATCAAACCCTAATTTCAATGCGCAATATTCAGGTTGAGAGAGACCACGTGTTTAAAGAAGGATTTGTATTAACCTATTTCAAAACACGACAACGAGTTTCAGAGGAGAATGATGGGGATCCAGAGCTGGAAAATTTTATTTTTATTTTTAGAGATGTGGGTGTTATTTTTTATATTTTATTACTGGTTAGTTTTTTAAATGATATGCTTAGAACGAGTTTTTATTTAAGATTTAGTTAATCGGTTTCCTAGTTTTTAGATGGGAATTGGAGGTAGATCACATGGGTGCTGGGGGAGGGGGGGGGGGTCGCAGTATGATGGCATAGAGATCCAATTATGGTGGGACTCATTACTATTTTAATAAGATTTAGTGATTTCCTAGTTTTATGAGATTTTATAGAGAATATGTTAGTTAGAAAGAGAATATTTCCTTGATTGGTGAATCTAGAGGGAGAAAAAGTAGGTGTTTTAAAGAGAGAAAAGGATGAGGAATGTGAAGTCCAAAAATAATATATGATAATTCGTTGGTGCCTGATTTTGAGAAAGAAGATATTTTTTACTTTTGTTCTTTTAATTTATTTTTTTTATATTTTTATGGTGGTATATAAAAAGGGAATGTCCCCACTAGAGAGGGCTTATGTTATAGGAATGAATTTTATATTACGAAAAAAGAAAGATCTTTTCTTGGTTTGATTTACAACCATGTTTTTTCTCTATTTATGCGATTTTTTACTTGTTTGAAGTTCGGGAAAAATGTGGATTTAATTTCCCACCTTTCTTCCTAAATCAGTTTCTCAATGGACTCCACTTGCTCCATGGTTGCATTACTAGAACTATTTGTGATCACTAGAAGAGGAATAGGATGGTCAGGTGGCATAATAGGTAACAAATATCTTTCAGAAGAGAAATAGGGTATATTCTCAAAGAAGGTAACATCATTTGGGACATATTTTCTTTTAGTTTCCGGGCAATAATACTTGTATCCTTTCTGAGAGTTCGAGTATCCTAGGAAACACATCTAGTAGATTGAGGTCCTGGTTTACAATTAGCCAGCCCCAGGGTATACACAAAGCAAACACAAGGTTTTTGGTGGAGAGGAAACAAAGGAAGCGCATGGAGGAGAAGTTTGAAAGGATAAGCACCATTGGGAACATGTGTAGGCATGCTATTCATCATATAGGCAGCAGTAAGAACTGCTTCATCCCAATATGTCATAGGAAGCTTCATTCCCATCAAGATGCCTCTCAACACTTCTAACAAGTGTTTATTTTTTCATGCTGCTGCGTCATTATGTTGTGTTGTAAAGGAGCATGATGTTTAAGTTACCATGTTCAAGAAAATAATTCTTTAAGCCACTGTATAGATCTCTCATGCATTATTGGAACAGAAAATTTTCATTTGGGTCTCAAATTGGGCCTGAACCATTTTATGATATATTTTAACTATTGAAAGTAATTAATCTCTAACTTTCATAAGATAGATCCAAGCATAAAGAGAGGAGTCATCAATGAATGAGATAAAATACCAATTTCAAAATACAAAATAACTGAAGCAGCCCCCCAAACATCAGATGAACAAGATGGAATGGCTAAAAACTTTTATTTTCATTAGAAGAAAAAAAGGTTCTATAATGTTTAGACAATTGACAAGTCTCACATTGTAATTGAGGAACACTCAAAGAAACAAACTTATTTGTAAACAATAATTTTAAAGATTTCAGAGACATGTGGCCTTAGAGGGTGCGCCACAAAAGTACTTGCTCATGACTTCTACACTCAAAGTTGAGACTTAAGAGTACTAGAAGTGCATCTGTGTTGAATAGGTACAACCCACTGTCTTCACAACCACCACCAATCGCCTTTCTCGTATCTAGGTCTTGCAAAATACAATGCGAAGGATAGAATGTGACAATATAGTTTAGTTGTTTTGTCAGGTTGCTAACAGAGAGAAGATTTGAAAGAAACGAAGGCACATGTATTACAGAGGATAAGGACAAGGATGATGAAATGTTATCTGTTCCACGTCAAGATACACTGGTCATAGATCCATAAACAAGTTTAACTTCATTAGAAGCAGGATAGAAGCACAAGATACCAACTTTCTTGCGGTAATATGATTAGTAGCCCCCAAATCAAAGATCTAAGATGTAGAAGAGGTGGAGTTTGAGGCATGCTTTGCAGTTGTCTACGTACCTGTTTGCTCTACAGGTGTCTTAAAGCTGAGTAAAGCCTTGGAAGCAGTCCACTGGTGCTGTAAATATTTGATGACCTAATCTCTTGGATCAGATACATTGGGTTGTGTGGTTGAGGTTTCCTCCCCCT